ATCATGGATATTTTTTTACTGTTGTATCCAAGCTAGGCTTTGTTCGTATGGAGAACTCTACCTAAGGCAGATACATATTAATGTTTACAAAGAAAAATATATACAAACGAAATACAAATAATTCCGAAATATAAAAATTGTAATTTGCCTTGTGACATGGAATCTATTTACTTTATAATTACATTGCCTTAACATAGTGTTCTTTCGGAAGGAACGTGTAGAAGAGTATATTTACCTATATAATTTAATTGTTTTGACAAAAAATATGACATAAGTAACTTGCTAATATGACGTAAACATGAGTTAGTTATACCGTAATAAGAAAAATAATATCGATAAAATTGTCACATGAAAAGGTCTCCTTGTTTCCGATTCGAAAAATAGTATGCATGATTTCAGTGCCGATTCTTTCAATCAGAATTTCCAAGCTCCTTCGAAATCCAACTCTATCGATCGATTCGAATATTTTCTTCTCATCTATTAGACTTTGTGATTCGGTCTTCTTTGAGGCTCATTTCCTTTAGTTTCATCGTCATATTTATATTTTAGTTGGCTCTACAGATCTTGTAGATCTTTAGCCGCCTGAACCAGCCTTCTCCACCTCTGCCTATCTATGTTTGTCCTATCTATCCATCCGATTTTTTGCCTCCCACGTGGTCTCTTGCCTCCTACTCTGGCATTCATTGTTGTGTAAACGCGATGGATTGCTTTGAGCTACATGTCCCGCTCATCTTAACCTCCTATCCTTCATATCATGAGATATTGATTGAGTTTCTTTTAGCAGTTCATTATTGTTCCTTCTCCTCCATGTGTTAAGGTTCTGATCCCATATAGGTCCTGTTATCGTACGGAGGACTTCTCTTTCGATTCTCTCAATTCTGCTTTCTAGGGTGCCGGTTAGAGGCCAGGTTTCAAAGCCGTACAGCAGACCTGGCTTTATCACGGCGTTGTACACCCTTAGTTTGAAATTTCTGGATTTCTGTACCCTTGAAAGAGAGAAGCTCTGTTCGCACTTGTTATTCGCTGTTCTATCTTCGTTATTCGATCATTTATTAGGGTCATTGTGGAGCCAAGGTAATGGAATCTGTCTACTTTCGGGAATGACTTAGAGTCCACGCAGGTTAAGTTATTAAGGTGTATGTTTCGGCTAACTATCATACATTGTGTTTTATCTACATTGACTTGTAGCCCGATTTGCTCTGCTATCTCTTAACAGGATCCGAGCAAGTCTCTAAATATCCTTTTGATTGCTTCTGAGGACAACTATATGCGCATATGCTAAGATTTTGTGTTTCATGCCGACGTGCACCCCTCCATTTTTGCCTGATGTTCTTATTACTTTCTCATTATATTTTATTATATTATATTATATTAGTCATTATCTTATAGGCAACCGGAAGAAGTGTCTCTGTAATTATCTCATTCGTTCATGGAGCCCTTCTTATCAGATCAGTCCTGTGTTCCAGGCTTCATAAGACACACACACATATATACATTGTTAGTTATGATTAATAACATAATTAAACTGAAATAATTTAGTCTAAATTTCCTATTCCCAAACATTATTCTAACAAACACCGCATAGACTACATGGACAGTAGAAGAATAAAGAATATTCTCTCAAGAATTCCATAATCTGTTCACGTGATTAATGAATGTGTTTATTTTTATTCATCTATTTTTTTTATTATTATTTTATATAAACCACAAGATTCTATTTCCAGCTAGTATCTGCTTTCTATGAATGTTTTAATGTTTTATTCCTTTTCTACAAGTGCATTATTTCTATAGCTGGTTCTGCATTCCAGTGACCATAAATAACTCGCTAGGAACAACAACTAGTCTCCATGGCAATGCAGACATTTATTGAGAATCCTGAACTGGAAACCTGTTCTGCAGCGCGGCCTTGCGGGGGCAAAGAGAAGTCTTAAGTCCCGTTTGTCATTGCTGTTTTTAAACTGCCCACCAGTTTTGCATCTTGCCTTCCTACTTTCTCCATTCATTTCCTTTTGATATCTTTTTAACACCTTTTTTATATTTACAACTTCTATCCTTGGAAAAAAGCTGCTTCTACTTCCTTTTTAAATTTAAGGTTCTCTTTCGTTTCCTTAAGACACGTTTAACTAATATGGATCCAAGGATATGTTTTGGGTGTAATACCATGCTCCAATTTTACATCAATGATGAGTACCCATCCTTTTTTTTTTCATCTTTTTTATTATTTCAATTATAGAAACTAGAAACCCCCTGTCGTTTTAACGGCAGACCAACCTCCATTTTACAAATTATACTTGTTCATTACAACTGTTTATTTAGTTGTACCACTCATTGATCAAATTTTATAACTTTAATTTACATGTATTCTGTAGTGGTTCAGATCGTATTATTATCAACATAAAATAAACTGAACGAAACCACAGTTCGGACTAATTTGTAATTTCTTTAAAAACCTATATTATACATTCCGCCTTATTGCCAATTTGTAACCATAAAATACATTCAACTTGTCCAGCTTCATATAATACTCATATAATTAAATATGAGAGGAATTCGATGGATTATTGGAGCCTCGAAACTCTTAACTCATGTCATATAAATGTGGCCTTTATAATTTATTGGAATTTAGGTGTCTATTCTATTCTAATGAAACATCGAGCGATTTCTCGTCGTTTCAGTCTGATGCGAGGTCAAATAAATTCAAAATTTTAGTAATCTACGTCTTTTAAAAATTTAAATATAAAATATTGTTGCCTAAAATATCTATCATTGTGATATGTTTACGCAATAACTCATGATATCTTTATATACGCCGTGGGAGGGAGTCGTAAACTAATGTATTTATATAATTCATAAATTATAAATAAATAAACAATTGTTACACTGTTAACATTACCGATCGGTACAGCCAATTGCTTTCATATTTTTGATATATATTACATAAATTTCCGTAGATTATGAATTCGCAAAATGTGCATTGAAAAAAATGTTTGAAACAACTTGATTTCTACCTAGACATTCCAAGGTTTTTGTATGCAAATTCGCCATTGCAAAATAATCATATGCTAATTTCTACTTATTTATAGTTTTAATTTATTTTCCGTTTTTTTTTTATTTAATAATTAATTATTTAAGACGAGGAACTAGATCTATTAAAGATTTCCTCACTGCATTTATATCATTCATTATAATATTTTTTATTTAAAGAAGATAGAGATAAAAATTCCATAGGATAAAATTCCAGTGATGTTTGCAAATGTTTGCAAGTTATTCATATGTGAATCTCAAAATAATATTAAGTTCACGTAAAGTTTTATTTATGCTGTGATGGTTTTTTTTTGTGAAAACTTCTATTAATAACTTCTTTACGCGCGTCTTGCGCTTTTTTGTGGAGATTGAATTAAAGCTGTCAGATTTCCGATGTGTAACGCTATTGTAAAGTCGACTGGAGTCGTGTATTTTTGAATTAAAATATATCAAAAACTAAAAATCAGATTTGCATACTGTAAGCGAGGGGAATGTTCAGCATTTCATCTTCTTTGTAATGAGATATTATTTGTAATTTATATTTCATATTATTAATCTCGCCGTGTTGATGTTTTAACTTCTATCGTGCGGTCTAAAGCACACGCTTTAGTGTTTTCATTTTTATTTATTATTTATTTTTATTTCTCTAATCGGTTTACAGAAAAATTGAACATTTAGTCAATTATAATCAAATAGGTCATTAAACATTTTATTAATAATTATTATGGCAAGTGGAAAAATTTTATCAGTCGATATTGAAGTGCCTTTATGAAAAAAACTTTGCATTTCATAAAAAAAAAAAAAATTTTTTTGTCTCTACCTTTGTTATAAGTAACTGTTGATTTTTATTTAACTTTAATCAATACATTTAACTAATTAGGATCCTTATCGGGAAAAAATAATAATTAAAATCAATTTGAAAACACCGCTATCATGTTTATCTATGCGAACATGTAGAAGAAATTTATCTAAATAATTCTTTTTTTAAGATTGTATTTAATAGAAAAAATAATAGTAGCTACACTTTTTCAAAATACGTATAATGTATTAATCATTATTTTTTTTCTTATAAAAAAACTTGTTCCTCCCCGTTTAAGCCTACAACCGGTCATTGCATTTATTTTTTAATTTATTTATTTATTTGAAAATGGAAAATTAATATATATTTTTCCATTACAGTTAATGATGTGTCTATAAATAAACCTATATTCATAGACAACATTTATACAATTTTAAAATTGCATAATGGTATATATAAAACGCTCTCAGGAAACGAACAATTCTTCGATATTTATCTTAACAATGTTCATTATTTGTTTTGCTTTTTTTAAAGTTTTATTGTCCATTGTTCTTTATCTAATGTTCTTGAAATAGTTTTTATTACATCCAGTGATTTTCCCTTACCCTGAACACTTGATAATTCTACTCCGTTTATTAAATATTTTGATTTCTTGATTGCCATAGACAATTGTTTTATTCTCCTCTTCTCGTTAAAAAAAAAAAAAGTGTCAAGGTAAAAATAATTCAAATATATTAAATGTTCGTTTGTATGCTCACGGCATTACACTAAATATCAGCGTTAAAAAAATAATGTCTGCAATTTTACTAAGCTACATTATTATTTTATTCCTTTTAATTTCTTTATTGAATTTTATTACATTTTATCACAATTGAGGACAATAGAATATTGGAGTTCTTTTCCATCATACATACAATAAATAAAAATAAATTAAATGGAATAACAGAAAAGTAAATAATATAAAAAATAAGCAATCTACATTATTAATTTTACTATTTATATATTTCATTAAATCAACAAAAAAAATTTTATTACTCCATTCAAGGATAGTTATTATGATTTATACTTTTCGAAGTCATCAAATATAAAAATCTACCGAAATATTGGTTGTTTGTTGTTATTGTGTTTAAACTAGTATTAATATTTAAATAAAAAATAATGGAATATGTTTATTTAAATGGCTGGTAGAACTGGGTTTGAACGGCGATAGATGTAGGGGGTGTGTAAAAACGGATCGGTAGTATTGTCATCGAACCTTTGGGTTCGATAAGTCTTTATTTATTCAAATGATCAAAATTATTTTGCGAATTTCTCTGGATTTTTAAGAATCTTCGATTTGATTATATGTTTCAAAAGTAGAATTAATAATAAAAGTTTTCTTTCCTTTTTATTTATTCCTTTGTTCACTTTCTGCTCATTCATAAAAAAAAATAATAGATTTATAAATCAATGATTTGTACAAAATCAAAATATGTTCTTGTAAAATAATTTGCTAAATAACGCTATGACGCTAATTGAAGTATTTTAATTGTTATATTTTGCCATTTTTGTGATTAATAGTCTAAAAGAGTTATTTATATATAACATTTTTTTTTTCGTCTGAAATTTTCGTACTTCTCAAATCATTTTTCGGGGATTTGTTGAGCATTAATCAATTATAAAATACAAGAAAGTAATATGAGCATTATTCGTATCTGCTGATTTTTTATTTTTATTCTCAGTTACACTACTAACCTTTAATGCAATCTTCATATTTCATCTAGTATCATCTAGCGAACTCTTTGCCTATGCAAAGCAGTAGTATTATTTTTCATTGTTATTCAACGCATATATATGCGTTGGTAAATTATATAACATTTATTTACAATGCAATTACAATGTTATGGTCGTAAAGAATATTCATCAATGTTCAATAATTAACCTTTATAATCGATTTAGAAAAAATAATTTCATCTCCCCTCAAAAAAGTTTTAAAGTTCAAATAAGCTTAAAATCCAGAAAACTTTTTTTTAAATCCCTCTGTCTGTTTTTCGTTTCTTTTCTCCGAGACTACCGTGTCAATTTTTTATTTTTATTTTGTACCTAAATCAATGTTAACACCAGTATGATCTCCAAACACGACATTACCATCCGACATGTTTTAAAATAGCGTTTTGAACATTTAGACAATCATTTCCCGACCATTTGTAATGATAAAGAAAAAAATATAAGGTGTTTCGAAATCGCACTGATACCTATATTTAAAAAAAATAATAATTTAATAGCTTTTTTATTGTTATTATTTTTTTAAAGAACTTCTTTTTAAGTTCTTAAAAAATAGTCCCAAATAAGGGGCGAACCTTTTCTACTTTGTTTAAATATTTCCAAATTTATTCTCTATGTTATCCAACAAAAAATATCCAATTTGATTTTTTCTTTGCTTATCTGTCAGTTTTTTTTTTCCTGATTATATTCTCTCCCCTCCAATGTTTTATAAATTATTATAGTAGATTGATTATAATAAAGATGTTAGTATGTATCTATTTATTTCTCTATTATTTGTATATATTGTTTGAATGAGAACTCTTAGCCCTAATACTTATAGCCCTCCAGTGGCTGATTGTATTATTATTCAATAAATAGATAAAAAAAAAAAAAAAAAAAAAAGTATGTATCTAATATATCATTGTTTATAATGTCATGAGTTTCGTGAATTGTGCACGATGTTGGACCATGGGTACTTTCTATACCTGCTTAGGAGAAGGTAACACTGCCTGTTACCAGGTCAGTTTGCGTGTAGCGTCTCTTTAAGTAAGTCTTTTTTAGTGTTTGTTTCTTTATGATATAGTTTTATTCATTGTCTTTCACTATTTATGAAGTTTTTTAGTATATTTATCGGTTAATTTTGTAAAAAAAATCATCTGAAGTTTTCAAACTATCCATATGTTGAGTTTATGTATTCCTAACCAAAATGAAAAATATATATATATATATATATATATATACATATATATATATGGCAATAAGAAACTGTTAGTATTATTCCACCTTCTCTATTATATATATATGTTACTGTTAGCTCAAAAGGTTGTATATAATATTTTTACATTTTGTATTCTGCAACTGCAATAAATAGTCTGCTACTATGGAAAACAGTATAGGGAAATAATATATGAAATTATACTAATTCATCATGAATAATTAATCAGTTTCTATGATGTTCTTCTGTTGAAAAACTCAATTTTTACATACGACATTTTGCCCTAACAGTTGCGATATATTTTTTATTAATTTTATTTGTTTATGACCATATAAATATATGGTTTCTTATTAATAACATTACCGAAACACCATTCAATTTTAAGAATGTTCATGACGTTTAAGTAACGATGATTCATCGTATTTATTTTTTAACAAATTGTACGATAAGTTCATATATTTGTGTTTCAAGTTTTTTTTTTCATTTAATAAAACCGAATGTGTCTCTTTAAAATCATAGTAATTTTGATAATTCTCCGAAAACTCAGTTTACAGTGTTATTATAGATTAATTTCAAACTCTCTTAAGAGAGAAAATAATATTTTGATGTTCTATCCATAAAAGTAGAAAATACTCATTCTTATCACTGATCTTATGCCTCTTTCTTTTATATTTATCAATTTCTTTTTTCTTCTAAATCCATTCCTGACTAGAAAACGCTTTTAATAGTGTCTCTCCGCTTTCAAGATAGACTACTAATTTCTTTTTCTTTTTTTTTTTCTTTCAAACTATAAATTTGTTTCTCTGCATTTGTTGCGCGTGTTTCATAATTTCTTTTGTATTTTGTTCTGCAAAGATATTTTGATTAGTAATATTTTAAAAAAAGGGGTTAGATATTTTTTAAATATTTTTGAAATCATGTTTCCTTCACACGATTAAAATCATTTTACATATACTATGTAAATAATATCATTTTTATCTATTCATATATTATTTATTATAAAGTTTAAAATGGTAAGACTTTTAATTTGTATTGAGGATGATAAATGTAACGTCTTACCCTTGCATTAAAGTCTCCAGAATATTAAATAAAACTTAGTAAAAATCATCAACTTTTTCTATTTGATCTACATCCTTATTTTAAATTATTAAATTATTCTTATTTTATTTTAAAATTAAAATGTTACATAATATGTCGCATATTTTATTTGCGAATCTCTGGGCTGAAGTCATCTCCCCGAAATACGTAAATAATTTTTCTATATTCGTTTCTGTGAATGATCTACTAAGCTTTTTAAATTATAACGAATCTAAGGTTATCTTACATTTAGTAGGGTTTGAATAAAAAAAATATCCCTGAAAGCATTATTATTTCTTTTTTATTTAAGCAGGCCTTTAAGAACTTACCATACAGTTTCTTTATTTTTTCCGTATAATTAATATTATAAATTATTAAAAAAAAAAAATATATATATATATATATATATATATTATATATATATATATATATATATATATATATATAAAAGACCTTCCTCACCCATAAATTAAATCCTGGTTACAATTTTGCTTTTGATGGATCCAAAAACTAAGTTGTTTAAAGTATCAATCAGGTTTTAATGTATAAAAAAGTAGGTTTATAAACATGTAATAAATAAACCTGAGACCATAAGTTAAGTAAAATAAATTATTCTTATTAATAATTAAACCACTCAATTTGGTCCCAAAAGTCATAATTTATTTCCATTTCTACATCAACGTTTCAGCTCTTAGGCCATTTTCAAGGGAAGAAACCTTTTGAAAATAAAATCATATGGGCAGAATTGCTTTTGTTAACATAACTTAATAGTTTATTGGAGAGGTATATGTTAGACTATTAAGATATGGTGACAAGAGCAATTCAGCCCATATTTTTTTTTTTAAATGGATTTCTTTCCTTGAAAATGGCCTAGGTGCTGAAATATACGTTGGTGTATAGGTGCTGAAACAGAAATAAAGTAGGCTTTTAGTAATCAAAGCGGGTATTTTTATTATTAGTAATAAAGACTTCACCTACAAGATTTAAATATATATATATAAACCTTGTATAAAAATAAAGCAATTTTTTGGCTGCTAACGATATTGCTGAAGAGGGGGACAAAGATTACCCTAAACGTTAAATAAATGTATATAAATTATTTTTAGAAATTTATAAATTAATTTTGTGTATTCGTTGGTGGTTGGTTGGTAGCGCTGTCGGTGCAATACGTTATTGAGTTGTTACGTAACAAGGCGAAGTGCTCATTGAACCGCGATGGTCCTCTCCGAAACGGAACTACTAGATAACTTTTAATTTAGGCTCAAAATGATTGTTTATATTTTTCGAACTAGGCAGAGGACTCGGGATCCGGCGAAGGTGAGTGGAAATTTCCTCCGGCGGCCATGAAGCTATAAAGGTGACCGGTTCCCGCCTCAGGTCACCAGTCTTGGTCTGCCTTCTCGACCACGCGCGTCAGTCTCCATTCCGTTTCATTCTCTTATCGATATCATATCATTCATCTATTTATACGTACGTCCGACACGACTCTTCATTCAAGTTCGCAGAGCTGCATCCGCTGCAAACAGTTTCGAAGGTTCGCGTCTTGGCAAAGCTGCCTAAAACGGATCCTAAACTGTTCCCTTTCGGACCAAAGTCCAATTTCAGGCCGGATCTAGGATATGGGGGTGGACACTCTCCTCGTTCAAGTCCCGAAGTCATTCGTTATGATACTTCGGGAGTTGATGTTCTCAGGTGAGACCCTCACGGGGAAAGCCTGCGACTTCGACGCTGAGGATGTTGCCGTAAGTACCATAAGTCCATATATAGTTACTTATCTACAAAATTAAAAAAAAAAAAATAATGAATGAAAATAAATATATTTTTATTCATTCTAAAACTTAAGCTATATAGTATTGAATTATTAAAAAAAAAAAAAAAAAAAAAAATCAATGAATAAAATTAAATATATTTTATTCCCCTCTTAGAACGTAAGCAATATATTTTTGATGCTTTATAAACAAATACTATAAAAAAGAAAATAAATAGAAACACTCCTATACTCCGCTAGGAGGGGGGATAACAGGATTCATTTCTAGCCCAACTAGGAAATCTCCCCTCCATAGTTCCGTAGTCTAGAGACTGGGTCCTAGATCAACTGTTGTTCTGGAAAGTTCCAGTATACATTATCTCTGTAATATATATCCCATGAAAGATGGGATATGCATAATTCATAACTTACAGTAATAAATGTTATTCATAATGAATATAAATGAATGAACATTGTGAATAATAAACAAAAATGAAATGAGGTTTGTTTTTTTTTCCTCTTAAATTATTAAATGTAGACATGAGTTTATGAAGTACCTTATTATGTAATTAGGAAGTAATTATTTTCTTATTAATTAATTATTTAACTTTTTTAAGTTTTATTTTTTTTTTGTATTTATAATTTATATAAAAAAATAATCACGTAAATTTATTTTAAATTTCTGCTTTATTATTCATTTTAAAACTCAGTTGTCTTTAGAGAAGTTATGTAATGAGGATTTCAAGTTTCTAAAATGTATTTTTTGCAAACTCATTAATTTTGCTATCTCTCTTTAAAAACCAACTGTCTACAATTATTCTTTAAGAAAAGTAATAAAATTATTTCTTAATTATCTCTCATGGAAGATGATATATGCATGATGCAAAAATATGTCTTCGTGAGTTAAATTATTCATAATAAATAAATATTATTCATGAAATGTATCAATTAATAAATTAAAAAACAAATAATAAAATTATATTTGTTTTTCCCCCCTCTTAAATCATTAAATATGGATATGGATTATTGTGTAGTTAGGAAATAGTTCTTCTTTATTTATTTGTATATTTTATTAATTTTTTTACATTACAATTCTATTTTTATTCATTAAAACAATAAATCACTACTGTGATATATTTTAAATTTCTGGTTTATCGTTTAACATTAATTTTAGAAGCCTGTAATCTTCAAATAACGTAAACAAGTTCTGAACTGTATTTTTTACAAACTTACTAATTTGGCTATCTCACTTAAAAATAGTCTACAATTAATCTTTTAAAAAATTAAATTAGTTAATAATAATCATTATAACCTCATGCCTATAGTGCCAACCTCATTATGCCAACAACACATCTGCTGATTGTCAATACGATGACAGGTGTGGATAGACAATTAAAGATAAAAAAAAAAAAGTTAATAATGTTGTTTCTTAAGTAATGATACTTTTTTTTTTAAGACGAAAAACTTATGTGGGATAAAACCTCAATAATTAAATTAGATTCGATAAAACTATTGTTGAATTAAAAAATATTAATTGAGAACTTCATGGTATTTTAAAAGGATAGAATTTCTCAACATTATAATTTATTTATTACTTCTTCGTTAATTACAGCTATGAATTCAGCTATAGCAGTTAAAAAATGTATATATCTCTACCTTGTTTTTTTTGTCTAGTTCTTCCTGTTCTAGGACCTTCCTGTTTATTATAAAACATAAAAAAGAACATTTGTCTTCCTTCAAGGATTTCTAGGACTAGGAATTCATTCGTTTTCCATGTTTGGTAGGTTCTGAATTAATTATTCAAAAGTTTACGCATTTTAATAAGTGGAACTTCCCCAAAGTTATCCGCTATCTGTTCAATTCTTATAGAACGCGAATTGAAAAAAATATCAATTAATGAATTATATATTTAGTTAATACATTAGAGATAATAAGAAAATTACTGTTTTAAAACATAAATAATCAACTTGCTTAGGCGCCCCTACAACAAGATACCATCTGAAAGTGCTAACTCATATTAGATTATCTCAAATTCATTAAAATGCTACTTAAAAAAAAAACAGACGATATAATCTAATGGAATCATGAATGTAAAAAATAAAAAAAATGTACCACTACAACCAATGAAGGGTATTGGGTTCAGTACTTTGTTAGAAACTACTGTTTCTTGGTCAACGGATGTACAAGGTTGTGACTGAGATTATGCTTTATCGCCAGGTTCCACCCTTAATTAATTATTTAATTAGGAAATCATCAGCATAGATATGCTATTGGGAATGATGGATCAGGACGGGATGGTCACTAATATAAATCGAATACAGTACGGGTGATAGAGTTAAATCCTGAGGGACACCACCAGAGGAAAAGTGGGGGGCGAGTTGGCCGAGCTGGCTGACGCGTGTGCACCTCACCCTGCGTTGCTCGTCAACCCGATAACCGAAGTTTAACACAGAGTTCAAATCTCGGCGTCCGGTGGGACTTTTAACTCGGCATAATTCCCCCACTCTCTCCCCAGGCCGGGGAAAAACCCTGTGTAACCTAAAAGGCAAGGAAGGAGGGACAACAAAAAATAGAGAGAGAGGGGAATTCTTTGAAGGAGTTTGTCATAGAACGGCTACACACTGGGATCGATCCTCTTTAGCATATATAGTAACAATGTCACCCTCATGGACTTCATTACTTCTCTCTTAATATATTTTTTATAACTAGGCATTGACTTGTTCATAAAGTATAGTAAAATACTTTCTATTTTTTTTTTTTTTTTTTTTTTTTTGGATGGGAAGGAGCGAAGAAGCTCAGAGATTAAGAAACTGACTTCATATGCTAAAGGTCCCGGGTTCTAGTCCGCCTGTGGAAGATTATTTATTCTGTTACAACCACCGCGAAGCGACCTTGGGATCAGGAGACACTCCTAGGGCACACCCAGCCTCTTTAAAGCGGTTACCCTTTAATCAAATGATTAATTAAGGGGGAAAATCTGGCGGTTGAGAACGATCTTTTGTGAGGAAGTACCGTTGAAACAGTATTTTCTTGCAAAAGTACTGAACCCAAGACCTTCCATTGGTTGTAGAGGTACAGGTCTTAAAATTCAAATTCAGAATAAAAACCTTATGTTCTATAGTTTATATTTTAATTTATATAAACTAATGATTTAAAGGCTTTTTATTTTAATTAAAACAAAATAAACTACTCAGTCATTTAACCAATCTGACAGAGAAATCAGTTCAGATACACTCGTCTTCCTTTCAAATTAGTAGCCGAACGTTGCATGGATGTAATTAATACTGGATTTGGATTGCGGTCAATAATATTATATCCAATTACTAAAATTGGTACCAGTTTTTCTGATTACGGCAGTATTATTTAGTTTTTATAAATTCATGTAAAACAGGTTCTCTCTGCGAATAAGGTTTCTTCCCATGGGTAGGGTTTCATTACCCTCGCCGCCACAGAAAAAGAAAATACCCAGCCAATTTCCTTAGACTCTGGTTTGGATCACAGTTACATTTATTAATAATTGATTAATGAAATTATAAATTCATTCATTATCATAATTTTTTTAATGCAAAGAATCAAGAAATTAAAACAACTTTTTCTTTTTATCATAAGTTTCCTCTTACTAAAATTAGCAATTATTAATTTAGAATATTCAATTCCTTGATTTATTTATTTGTTTGTTTTAATATTTATTTTTGTGTAGATATTAATATAAATTGTATTTAATAAATTATTTTATGTAGATATAAATATAAATAAACGGTGGAGAAACGGTTAACTGTAAGTATTACGGTTGAAATGTTACTTAGAGTTAGCAGTCAGAGTGAGAAATAAATAAATAAAAAATATTTTGTGCCTACTTAAAAAAAAAAATATTTTCGGCCTAAGTTTCAGGCCTTCATCATGACCTGATGACATCCTCGCTACGAATAGGATTAGATTAATGAATGCATGAAATTTAGGCACAAAATATAATTTAAAAAATATTTTTATTTGTGATTCTCACTGACTGCAACTTCTATCTTCCCAAAGTTATTGTTAACAGTCAACTATTTCTCCACCTATATTCCAATCACTTGAAAGGTAGTTTATATTTCCTTAATAGTTAAAATAAATAAATAAATAATTTGAGTCTGACCGGTTTAAATTGTCTTATAACCAAAAATAAAATTCTTAAAACATCTTCATCATATATTAATGAATATATAACGGTGTGTGCATTGAACTACGCTTCCAAAGCTATGAGGAAATTCGTATTAGCCGACACACCAGTTTTTTTTTGTTTTTTTTTAAGTTGCGTAGAAACAATCGTAAGATCTAAACTGGATTTGTGCGACGGATAATTTATAAATAACATCATGGATAATTAATAATTTATTCATGAACATCCTGGACATAACGACGTAGAAATGTGAAGGTGGGATTCGGGCGTTCTTTCTAAATCGAGGTCACCTTCTAATTTGTTATCAGCTAAGATCGTCTGGCTTTTGGTTTCGAATCTGGTATTTTCTCCTAGCTGGCGGCCTAGAGATATTCCGTAACGGTATTAATTTATTTCCCAACTAGACACGATATTTTAGTAACGATAGCTTAAAATAAATTTTGTATCTGGGTTTTTTTAATACTTATGTAATTATTAATTAGATCATTATTGATTCTGGTTTTATAGATACATTTAATAAAAAATCTAAATTATAATTGTTCGTAGCATTTGTGGTTAAGAACATTAATCAATCAATTGTTTAATATTGTTCATAAATATTTTGTTATGGTGTGGATATACTGTAACCATTGTTTATATTCTGCAAGAATATTAAACTATTCAATTAAAAAATAATAAAAACTTAAGGTGTGTGTTTTAGAATTCATGATAGAAGTGAAAACATCAAAAAGGCGAGATTTATATTAAGAGATATAAATTATTAATTAATAGCTCATTATAGGGAGATGAA